AGCGTAAACAATCGGGTTTATTAATTGCAGTCATCAAATCAGAATTCACACCCAAGTATCTCAAACGATCATGCACTTGAATTTTTTTGTTAAAAGAGCGTAAACAATCGCGTTAATTAATTACAGTCATCAAATCGGAGTTCGCACCCGAATTTTTTACGTAAATACAAATGCGGAGCAGAGCGTAAAAAATCAATTTTTTTTTAAATTACATATATCAAATCGGATTATAAAATGAAATTCCTAGACAAACAAAATGAAATTATAATCAATAATTTACATATTAAACTTGGTAATTTAGTACTTTATACATTAATTTAATTCAAGTACATCATTCGAAAAAAATTATTTCACTAATAAATTAAGGTCGTGGCTAGTCGAAATACTTGTTCAGCCAAATGTAAGACCAGTTAAAAAAGCAGACTACAAAAAAATACCTTGAAATGACTAATATACTCATCATTAGTGATGGCATCGGAACGGATATCCTCGAAAAAGTGGAATACCAGGACCATACCAAATTCATTTAAAAATTTAATCAAAATATCATTACCATTACCACCAATATCCGAATACCCCCACGGATATTCATTTACCATTTAAATTAGGCCATAAGAAATAATTTTAAGCGAATTATACAAAATGAAATAAGACGTTTCATCAAAATGGAAGTTCTACAACAACAAAAAAATGATTAAAATAACAATATTTACTACAAGATCTTGAAAATGTAAATAATGAATTTCAGAGGTGCGAAACTTAGGATAAACAATTGACTGGAATCATAAGAAACTTATTATGTACTTGAACAATTCATTAGATGTTAAAGTTATATTATTACTCATATATTATTTAATACTTTATTTTTAAAATTTACTGAATTAATATATATATATATATATATATATATATATATATATATATATATATATATATATATATATTCATTACCGACGGGGTGAAAACAGAACCAAACTAAAATCATGACGGTTTGTAATTCTTTTACCAAAGTCATTACCAAACCCTAATGGTTTCGGTACGGGTTTTAAACGGAATGGATACCCATAGGTAGCTGCGGATCGGGTTTTTTGCCATGCCTACTCATCGCTAATGTCCTCTTGTTTTTTTTTCAAGACAAAAAAACAAGGTTTAAGTCTGTAAAATGAAAAAAAAAAATTATGAAAATGGAACAACGGAACAAGAAAAAACAATTTGCCAGACCCTTTCGCCGCCGTCCAGAACCTGAAAGACAAAACCCCTTCACTGCCGCCGCCTGAGTCCGCCACTGCATGAGTCCACTTTCGAAACGTCTCTCCACTTCTCTCACCCACCTCAATATTTCATCTCTTGTTACAAATGAAGTGTGGTTGGTAAATTCACTAGAGTAATTCATTACTAATTCCATATTTTGTTCAATCTTCAGAAAAGGTAGAGCGAAAAAATATTAAAATTAAGACCGGATATAATAGACATCACAGTGTCGAAACACCTTGCTAAATCTCGACATGCAGGGGTGGAATTAATGCACAAGGAATCCGACATTAAGGAGATAATTAGACAACAAAATCGCCATGTGCTCATGCCGAGTTTGTTTCACAGATATCGACATCTTAATGTCGGGTTTTAGGGACAAAATTCGACATGGCGATTTTTTTTGGAAAACGATAACGTAGCAAATAAAATACATTAATGCATACCTCCTTCGATTCCTCCACTGTAGAATCTTCCATTTTGATGTCTTTTGACTACGTATTTGCCCTCTTTGTAAGGTTTGTTAAGGATTTGTGGGTTTATGGAAGAGGATTGAGAAATGTTTTAGCAGATTTTGGAAGACGGAGATGATAAGAATTTGATTTTGTAGTTTTGTGGATAAATTTTTGTGTTTTTTTTAGTTTGTGGTATTGCATTAATTTTTTTAACAAGTAATTGTATTATAGTACTTATAAATTGAAAATTTTAATTTTATCTTACATTTAATAGAACTAGTCTTGCAAATAGCCGTGACAATAAATCAACCATTCTTATTTTAAGGGAAAATTAGCAAGACCCGTTGAAAAATATAGATAAGGAAAATTCCCTTCACAAAATAAATAGGGTTGAGAATTTTCCCTTATTTAATAGCAGCATAATACCAGTATTACCCTTATTTATTACTTTCTCAGCCCTAATTATTTCTCATTTTATATATTTTCTTCACTCTTCAATTAACCCCACCACACAAAACCAGCTAAACCAATTTCTAGTTTGTACAAAGTCGGTTGTCTTCTTCACCACTTTGAAATAAAATCGGGCCCACACCAATTTTCAGTAGTAGTGCATTTTTTCTCTCGATCTATTTCTTCTTTTATCACTCTCTTCTCTTTCTCTCTCTTATCTTTCCCTCTTTACAAGATTATATCGAGTGTTTGGCAGTGGTCCGGTGATAGGGCGGTTGTAGAAGGCGGCGCAGATGGAGGTTGGCGACGGGGGCAGCTGTGTGGGAGGGGAGGTGTCGATGTTGGAGCGAAGGTGTGGATTCGGTGGAATTGGCGGTGGTGGTGCAGATGTTAGCGGAGATTTTGGTGGTGGAATCGACATTTTCATTCATGGTGGCTGGGTGTGAAAATTCCGGCATGACGGCGACTGCAGGTGGTGGTGGCAGCGGTATGGGAGGGGAGGTGTCAAATCTAGGATTTGTTTGGATAGATCAGGCGGAGGACGTCGCTGATGGAGGTAGTTTGTGGATGTTTGACCCTAATCGACTATGTTCGGTAGTAATCGATTAATTGACCTTTTTTTTAATTTATTTTTATATTTTTGTTTATGGATTTCTATATGTATAAATTAGTCACTTTTGTATATATTTTGTTTTATAATATACGGTTGATTTCATTTTTTTGTATTTGTGATTTAGTAGTCAGTTCCATAATCGACTATGCTTCATAGTCGATTAATATATCTGATAAAGAAAAAAAGTTAAAAATACAAAACTTAATTATTAAAAAATTAAAAATATAAAAAAATTAAAAAATAATAATAAAAAATAAAAAAAGTAAAATCAACTGATGGGGTGGCATGGGCATAATTGGTAAAATGACTGGCTAAAATTATGAAGAGAATTTTCTCAAATGGTGCGAAATAGTTTGAGTCTCTCCCTATTGTAAGAAGTATTGAAAAGTTTATATCAAAGAACCCTATTTTAAATATGGTCAAAGACAAATATAGACACGGTCATGGGCTGGTTCGGGCCGTTTCACTCCGGTTCGCGGTTCACTTTTTTAGAAATCGGAACCGGCTCGTACAACAGACGGTTCGCCTGGCCGGGCCGGCTTGCCGGTTCACTTCGGTTCTGGACCTATCCAGGTCGGAAACTTTTATATATATATATATATATATATATATATATATATTGAAAATACTTTATGAATAAATAAATTAAAGGAATTACTTTTAAGTAGGAAAAAAATAAAAGGAAATAAATGAGAAAGGACTTGAACTTAGTTTTACAGAAAAAATTGGGTGTGAGGTTATGTATATGAAAAATTGCCCGGGGGGGGGGGGGGGTAACAATATTTCTAAGTCACGGTGATGGTGGATTTTGTTATACAGATGACTATGGGAAGACGGGAGCACAACTTCGATGTTGCCATCGCGTACTACTGGCTACAAGTCAACCACCTGTTGGGTCCAAGGTCAACTACAGTGATATTCACTATTCTCTTCCTTACTTGGATCAATCTATTACTTTTTAGTTTTTATTTCATGTAATTTTTTTTTTTTCTTTTTTTTTTTGAATGATGTATAATATGTGCCATGTGCCTAAAGGCTGGCATTCAAATTTATTTTATTACATCATTGTTAGAAATATTTTATGTCATATTTTAAAATTTTATACATATTGTTTTTATTTTTAGTTCTTAAAAGAATTGGATCCCATACTTATCGGTTCGGTTTGGTTGGCAAGATTAGCTAAGATTTACTAAATAGTAAAGTTTAGTTCGATGTTTGATTAGCGTGTATCTAGCTAATTGAAAGATAACTAATTGGACCGTGAGAGATCCAATAAAATTATTGTGATTAGATATGTTAATGACTTTGTACCTTTTAATCTCTTTATCACAATGACATATTCAATTTTTTTTAAACAATTAATATAAAATAAAAATAACTAAATTAGAAAAAATTAAAAAAAAAAGTTGAAAAAAAAAGAAAATTCGAAAAAATAAGAAAAAAAAACTCGAAAAAAATAATTTCTGAAAAACTAAAAAAATAATAAAAAATATATTTTCAAACAAAGTATTATTTTTTCGAAAAATAAGTTTCGAAAAATATGTTTTTTGAAAAACATAATCGAAAAAAATAAAAATAAAGACGTAAAAGAAATTCAAAATTTAATTTTTTTTTTCCGAAAAAAATAAAAATAAATTTCGGAAAAACTGAAGAGAAAAGAAATTCGAAAAAAAATCAGAATAAGTTTGTAAAAAATCGAAAAATAATTAAAATATCTTTTACGAAAAAAAAAATTGAAATGAAAAAATTTTGAAAGAAAAATAAAACGAAAAATATTGGAAAAACTAAAGAAGACAAAAAATTCGAAAAAAATAAGTAATAACAAAATATAAATATTAAAAAGAAGAAGAAAAAAAAAAAGCTAGCGTACGATTAAAAAAAGGGTAATTCGGTCATTTTTATATAATTGGGTTGATGTTAAGGAAACCAAACATCAACCCAGCACTCTCTTGGGTTATCCATATTGGCCTCAAACACCAAAGCAGTTAGGTCCATCTCAAACAGATCGGTAGGGATGGATACTGTCCCGTCATTGGCTGACGGCAGTCTCGAGCCATGTTATCACTCTTTCCACAATTGTGGCAATTTCCTTTGAATTTTTTTGTTTGATTTGCCTTGCCCTTGATCACATTCGTCTTCTTATTACTTGGCTCGGCCAAATTCACCTTTGCCTCCATTTTTCCTTTCAGTGACTAGATACTGATTTAACAACAATTTAGAGAATTCGACTCCGTACAACTAAAGGCTTCATTCGCACGCTTGAAAATATACTGGAAATAAACAATAAACCTCGTACAAAAAAGTTCGATGACTCCATTAACATGTCAAAAAAATCGATGATGCACAATCGCATTTGTCAAAAATTACAATCTGTAAATTCTAATGTTCACTTTTTAATTGTGCTATTTCCTCCGTTTCGAATCCTTATTCATAATCGAAACTTTCTCGGGAGAAAAAAAAATAGATAAAAATAGTTAGGACCAAACTATGAAACAGCCTCAATGGCACTGCCCAATGGCCATGCAGCTTCAACTAGAGAATTTTGATACTGTACCTTTTTCACCAAAGTAATTGATTCCCATTTATCAAGGCCTGTCAAATCAACGACATGATATTATCAAAAGATTCGCAAGTATAACACACGTAAATATATGATCAATTTTATCCTTTTTTTTTAATCGAAAAACGGAAGTCAATTACTCACCAAAACCATCAACAAGCAGCGTAAATTGATAAGTGAGGTCCATGCATAAGTAGGGCAGATTATCTGCTTCCACACGAGGATATAAAGATTTGCCATCTTCGAGACGAGTCTCACATGCGCGTTTCGCTGCGTCCTCAAAATCTGCTGGATGAACTTTTGCAACAGGCAAGCTTGGGTCGACAAAACCAGCCTATACACATTATTAACCACGAGTAAATATTTATTTCTAGGCTTGAACTAAAATAAATAAATAAATTTATTTCAAGAATCCAAATGTGGAAGTAAATACTCTTACCTCAGCAGCTCGATCGAAAAAGAACGAAGCAACAAATAAATTCTTTTGGCCGTCGCCTCCACCACCATTCCACACGCCGCCAAAGGTACATTTCATGTGGGTACAAGAATCATTCACTCTCAGAGCCTTAATAGCTGTTTCTCTACACTTGATGTAGCTGGCACCCGAAGGCAAAGCCGAGGCCTTATACATTGTTTGGCCGTATTTGTAAGAACCTTCACAATTAATAAATATCATCAGAATCTGATCACACACCACAAAAAAAAAAAAAGAAAAAAAAAAAAAAGATTTTATGGGAGATCCGAATTCAGTGTAACCACTGATTTTGCCACTGTATCTTTCTATCAACTCACGACTCTGATTCTATTGGGAGATTGTCACCTCATTGATACTGATTGTGCTAGTATCTCTTTCCCTCATCAACTCTAGAACATGATTCTATTAATTTCTTTTAATACTTAGAGTTACCAAATAACCAAGATTTAACTTTTACGATACTTGTTACAACTATGAGTTTTTACAACTATTGCACAAATACATTGATTTAATCTGACATTTTCATCCATCACTTCAAAAGAAAATAAAATTCCATTCGAAAAGAGAAAGTCAAAGGAAAAGCAAGAGGGGGTTAAGAAAGTAACGCAGCAAGGAAAGTTCTACACACCATTATAACCCGTCAATAGACACGGATTGCCAGATTCTTCATCGATCTTTAAAATCTCAGCTCGACCAGCTAGTAGCCCATAGCGCAGGTAACTGCAAGTAGATAACATTGACCACATAAAAATAAGAAAAAAGAATATAGATTATTAATGACTTTACGGGAATCTAATGATAACCACAAAAAAGACTACTAATATAGTAACGCACTATCATTCCACAACACGAGACAGGCCCAAAAGAACACGTAAGAAAATATTCATATTTATTGCAGGGTAACGGATATACCTGTGAACGTAAAGATGATATTTCCTTCCCTTGAGAAACATTTCCTGCACATAAGATTCCTCTCCATCGGATATCTTTGGAGCATTAGCGGCATCTGACTCTGAGATGGCATATGCCATTTGTACAGAGCCACCACCAAGATCAACCACTCCAACAGTACTAGAATATTCTTTGCCCATATTTCCTAATAGATAGTTTATGGTCACCTGTACAGATATAATAACAAAGCCTGGATAAGTTTACAGCCACTGAAAAGTAGACAAGAAAAAAGAATTAAGAACAAATATACGTTATTTATTCGCATACTCGTCTCTGTACTTTGTGCCAGGTTATTAGAGTACCTGCAGCACATTTTGCTGTTTTTTGGTTTTTGCAGTGACTTTTTGGGGATGTAAGAAATTTTGTGTTACAGTTATACTCGAAAAAAGTTCCTTCGTCGCATCTAGCTAGTTGGACCAACCATAAACCCAACAAATCCTATTTAATTTGGCTCCAAATCTCATTAGTTGACATACAAAAATGTATTCCAGATGCACTTTTTCTAGCTAGAGAACGCAGTATTCAAATCCTCCCATTGGCAATGATAAAGTACAGTATATTTACTCTCGATTCTATAATTCTACTTTTGTAGGAAGACTAGACATATGTTACACTAAAAATAAATTGGTACTAGAACCGTCACGTAGTACACTTCTTACTCCAAATCTTTTTACCATTGTTGGCCAACTTTTATGAATGGGATAACAGTAACTATTCACGTTATTCTCTGACAATTACAATCTGTAACATTTCTGTAAAATCGGGGCACATTACAGCCTAGATTCTTTTACCAGACAGAATTTTTTATTTTTTTTTTGCATTTCTCAAAGATAAATGAAGCAAATATACCCATTGTCCACTTAAAGTTGCACCGAGGATCTATTTTATTAGAGAATACAGTTATATCATAAAACTACTGAGATGTAAACCAGAAACAAATGTTAGAAGTACAAAAACCCAAAACCTTGTGCAGCCGAATAAAGTCCATAGACAACTTACAGATAACAATCCACCAATACATAGAGAGAGAAATGAGGAAGTATGAAGGTAACATACCCATTGATAAGCACCTTCCTGATTTCCATCCAGAACCGTAACCCAGTCACTCTTGGACTTAAAGGAACTTTTATTCTTCAAATAATCCCTCACCTTCACAAGAGTTTAGAGGTATAATAAATACACTGAACTTGGACGAAAAAAACAAAAAGAATGTAAATTGTGTAGGAAAAAATTAGAGCATGTAGTTTACGGCTTGTAAAATCCTGTCAGATGCATCACCTTCCAATTGCCTTAAACCAGCAGTAGCCTGCGCGAACATAAGCAGTGCAATTCAGTTTGAACATAAACAAGCAAATAAACAGAGGTTTTTCCAAATACCGTTGCAAATAATGACCAAAAAGTACCTACCCCAACTCTGACTGGTGTGTTTTGCCGCAGTTCTTTGGGGACTGCTGCTTCCGCTTTTTCAAGAAGATCCGAAAGTGAATGTGCAGCAGCCTCGGGGTCCTTTGCATATCCACTCAAACCTGGTTTTCTCTACAAAAAGAAAGTAAATCTACATTACAGAATATATATATATATATATATACATTAAATGAATGTACAAATGACGGCCACACACACATTTGAGACCTGGTTAATGAATCAAGGAAAGAAATATGCGGGGAAGATTATATATATACATATCTATAAAGCGCTCAAGCTCCACCTGTATCCTTACTAGGATGTTCTGATAGAATTCCAGGATAAACAACCCTCTCTATCTCGTTTCACTGTATATTCTCAAATTCGTACTTCATCTTTAGACTTTATTGTTAATTTCTCTAGGTAAATGTATGTTATATTTAATGAGATACAAGTCTAAATCTTTCGAAAAATTAAAAGAGCTTATGGATCACATATTTAAATGTATAGTTCCTAGGAAGAAACGATCTCAATATTGCCAATTCCTTTAATCAACCCGCCTTTTACAGATCAGCATCGAACATATAAAACAGAGGCACCGAAACGTGGCCTGAATAAAGCATTCTACCCCAAGTTCAGAAGCAACTACGAAATCAAATGCAAAAGTTGATTGAATAAAGCGCAAGATTACCTGTATAAAAAGCTCAAGTTCTTTGCCCATGGGAACAAGTTCAAGCTGCTGGTTAAAGCAGAAGACGTGGACCCTACTGCCAGAGCTGCCAGCATCAAAGATTACGGCATAGCGCTTCGATATGAAGTTCGGCGAGAACTTTCTGGAGATGGACTCCGAAGTAGGTCTCGTGGGCATGACAAACAGCACAAACGAGATTAGCATGAGAGGGACCATAACCAATAGTATCGCGCCACGCCATCTCTGGATCTTGTCGGAAAAGGACTCGTGCTGTCGGTTTCTTTTCAGAGTCTTCTCCATCTGAACTTGCTGCTGCGCATCCAACAGTTCAGCAGCCGACGGAGATCGATATCGAATCTGCCCGTTTCCTCCTCCTCCTCCTCCTTTCAGTGACTGTGTGTCCTGAACTGGCTCCAGCTCTTCTTCTTTGTTGATTTTCACTTCAAATTGGTTCGTGATCTGGTTCATCCAGTTCAGCTAAACAATCAGAAATTACAATTATTATACCCAAATGTAATATTTTTGAAAATTTAAATCATGAACACTGAAATATATATATATATGTTCTCAAATCTCAACAGCATTATGAACAACATAAATTTCCATTTGTCAGACTTTGATTTTGTCGGATACGGGTCACTTATGCCGGATCCAATGGGATCCGATTGGATATGAACACATTCCCTAATTCGGCAATCTTAATTAACCTAGAAAATAAATAATTAAAGTCTTCTTATTTCGGTCGGAATTTTTACCCTGCTCCCCTCCAATTGGATCTAACCTCAACGGAAGCCATTGTTTAAGTTCTTAGAATTTTTACTGTTTCGCAATTCAAATAACAACCGGAAAATAGAATAAATTTGAATTCCGATGTAAACAAATGAAGAACTCAAGACAGTAGTGAATTCGGTATTTTTTTTGAGGCGAATCTGACGAAACCACCACCGTACGAATCGAAAGAAACTAACCTTCAATGTTTATCACGGCGACGAAGGGATGAGATTCTCTCCGCTGGTACAGCAAACTCCGGCGACTCGTGATCGCGCGTCAAGTGTGTGTTGTGTGTGTGTTTGTGTGTGGAGAGTGTGGAGACGATGAGTAGAGGAGAGAGATGGAAAATGATCTGCAAAGAATTTTTACTGTGAAATAGACGAAGGGAGAACATGTCTAAATAAATTATTGGGAAAATTGCATGTCACCCCTATAATGTTTTTATTTTTACAATTTACCCCCTCAAATTTATTAAAGTGAATGTCCCCCTTCAAAATGTTATACTTGTTGCACATTGCCCCAATGTCAAAATTTCGATAGATTATTAACAGAAATTGAGTGTTTTTTTTCTTTGGGACGTTGCTCCTTTAAATATTATTTTTGTTGCACGTTGCCCCTTAAAAACATTATTTTTCTACACATTGCCCCTTTAAAATGTTATTTTTGTTGCACATAGCCTACCGAATATTAGCTTTTGGGGCAAAGTGCAACCAAATCAATCTTTCTTAGGGGGTTATCTCTTTTCTGAAATTTTACGGAAGAAAATGCCAAAATGGGATATTTAGAGGGGGTGAAATGCATTTTGTCCTAAATTATTTATTGTTATTTATTTTATTTTATTGTTTTTGAGAAACTAAATAAATTAAAGGACTTCGTATAAGTTTCTTGTCTTTGCACTTCTCCCCCTAAAAATTTAAAAAAGGGATACTCCCCCTTTGAAATACTATTTTGGGTTGCACTTTGCCTCAGAAGCCAATTTTTTTAGGGCATTGTGCAGTAAAAATAATATTTTAAAGGGGGAAATTGCAAAAAAAGTAGTGTATCAAGGGGGCAACATGCAACAAAAATAACATTTAAAATGGAAACGTGCAACAAAAATACTCAATTGCGATAAATAATCTATCGGAGTTTTGCTATCGTGGTAATATGCAACAAAAATAACATTTTGAAGAAGGGCATTCACTTTGAAAAAAAAATTGAGGGGTAAAGTACGAAAATTATAAATTTACAGGAGGTGATGTGCAATTTGCGCTAAATTAAAGTTAAAAATTAGAAATATGTGTGATTAACAAATTATACCCCCTCACTTTATCTCTATTCTACTCAATGACAGGGGTGACTGCATTCACCTACACCTGGTGTTAGGAAATGAGACGATTTGGATTAAAATTAATATTTTTGAAAGAAAATATGAATTTAAAATGAATTTGATTTTAATTCCATTGAAAAAACTTGTATTCAGTTAATATAGGTGGTGTTTGCAAAAGCTTTTACAAATAGATTATGAGCTTTTCTTTTTTGCTCATAGTCTATTTTTGAGTGTTTGCAAAATGAACTTTTGTGTTTGTTTCTATTCAAATAAGCAGTTTTAAGTTATAATTTTAGAAGCACTCATGACCCTGCTTTTACTATTTAAGTTTATTTTTTCCGGTAGATTTGCAAAAACCCACAACGTTTAAAAATAAATACTTAAAACCAACTTTAACTCTCAATCCATAACTTCTACTTTTAAATAGGCTTTTGGAAACACTACCATAATCTATAGTGGAAGCACTTTTAACTCTAATGTTCAATAATGTTGAAGATTAGTTTCAACGATGTTCATTTGAATAGTAAGGCTCGTTTGGTTGTCAAGATAAAATTAGCCAAAATAAGATTTAATAATCTATTAAGGCCCCGTTTGGTTGACAAGATAAGATTAGTCAAGATAAAATTAAATAATCTAATGAAACTCAATTATTGTATTGGAGCTTGCAACGTCCAAAAAAAAAAAACTCATTAGAATGCAAGATAAGCCAAGATAAACCATGATTATATAATTTTGGCGGGTCGATCCGGCAATTTATTGGGGATACCAAACATCAAATTAAGTCCAACTATTTACTTATTCATGGTTTATCTTGGCAACCAAACGAGGCTCAAGTTAGCAGGGATATCAAACATCAAATAAAGTCCAATTATTTAGTTAATAATGGCTTATATCACCAACCAAACAAGGCCTAAAGATATGAATTAATATAGAGTGGGTAAACTCACCTTTGAACGATGTTACTAACTTGAATCAATAGCTTTCATAGCTTAGCCTAACTATCATAAATTCTATTGAACGATTGAACAAAGTTTATTGTTCATTCCTAATGACCAAAGAAGTTCAAATCACATCCGAATCATTCAATAAAAATGTCGACAAAAAAGATTCACAATCAATTTTCGGGATCGTCATTGCTTTGCAAGACCAATCAAACCGTGTCGAAATCAAAATTTCAGCACATAAACAACACTAAATCTAGGGGTGTTCACTCGATCAGTAAACCGACCGAACCAAAAATTCGGTAGGCTCCAACATTTTAGTATCACTAATTTTTTTATCAAATTCTGGTATTCAGTTACGGTATACCGTACCAAATGTTTTCAAAATTGAAACCAACATCAAATATTTTAAGTATAACAACATATTCTAGTAGCAAATAAGCATTGCATCGAATCAATCCCAACAAATAAAGCTCTAATATCACGGAAAATTTCCAAAATGCTCAAGCAACTTAAATCTTACGCAAAATAGCTACTCAAGAATTTCACCTTAGGTTACGAAGAATATAAAAAGTTCAATCATCATATCAAATTAAATCATCAAATCTCATAAAAAAAAAAATCCCAACTACAAATGTGTCCTTAATTGCATCCAACAAAGTTCAGCAGGGACTAATTACTCAAAACGTAAAATATCTTTCAACCCAAATAAAAACCTCCCAACAGCAGAAAGTTCCACAGCTTACAGATCTTGAACACTTAAACCTGAACCGAAAAAAAAAATCACGAATCAACGAATTATTTCATTACAAATTGCTAAAAAAACAGGTTGAAAAGTCAACGTACCCGGTGGAAGGGATTGCTTCAACTTATCAGCTTTCTCGAGATCGAACACGCAAAGGGTGTAAAGGTACTTTGAGCACCTAACCTTGAACTTGACGACATCTTTGCTTTTCTTGATCTTCACCGATTGTGCATCCTTCCTTCTAGCGGTGAGAAGGAAGTCCTTTATCTCGTGAATCTGCTTCGGCTGTAACAATAAAATAATAGAGAGTTAAATTTGCACGAAAAATAGTAAGTACCGTAACACATTCGAAAAGGGGACGATGAGTTCTGAGACTCTCGAATATATTAGATAACTTGTTATCCAAAATACATATAACACCCGACAACCAATGGCAGAGCCCGAATTCTCAATCAAGAACCTGATTTATTTTACGATTTTTAGCAGAAAAATAAACATCGAACAAATAGATATTTGTAACATTAATATAAAATAACATAAATTAAATTTCTTTAAACTTATATCCTATAATAAATATGGTCATGTAAACTAATTGCAAGGAGAAAATATAACTTATTACCCGATGCCCACTGGTGAAAATACATATTACACTCTGCAACCCTAAAGTAGGGTAAATTAAACTATTTACAGTTATACCCCAAAGTACGATTATTTAATCATCTTAACCAGTACTTAGAATTGACCGTGTTTAATATCTACAAACCATAATTGACCCTTTCGATTTTTCGTTTCGTGATATAATTTGTCGTTTGCCGGAGTAATTCTTCAAAAAAATAGTGAATAGAGTGTTCAATATAAAAAAAAATCCAAACGGTTTTACGACATTTTGGGCAATGACACAGAATAACTTCATACCAACACATAATTCATCTGCATACAGGTCTATTATATGCTACACTGGGTAGATCTTTACAATTCATATACACACAGACACACACACACTCACATTGGTGTGTGTAGATCAACGGTAAAAAAAAAAAAAATCACCCGGTGTAGCATAGAAATAACCATACATTTGACAATAAAATCATACAGCTGAATAAATACTAAAATAACTACAAGGTTGAATCAAATTTGGTGGCAATAAATAAAATCAGCACAATTAAATTTATTTTTTATTTAAAGCATTAAACTCAAATAAATCAAATCACTTCAGTCACCATTTTCATCTCTGAAAAGCTTAACTTTTATCCACCGGAATAAATAGAGAAAAAAATACAACAACGCGCAACGATTACCGACGGTGAATCAGAAAATTCACGGCGAAATAGAAGAATTAATAGCCATTTTTACATGAAAAAAAAGTAAATAAGTACCATTTTCGGGAGATGGGGGTCTGGCTGAATGCTGCTGAAGAAGAAGAAAGAGTGTGCTCGAATTCCCAAACCCTAATTTTGAAATGTGGGTGGAGATTTTATATAGTGTCGAATCTGAAGAGTAAAACCCTATTGGGCCCGTGGGCTTACATAAGGCCCATTCTGGATTGTTTATACTTGTCCAGGCCTGCTATTTTTCTAATTTCAGCTCCAAAAGAATCTTTATAAATTTAATATAATAGGGGTGGATAAAATTCTATTAATTTAACGAAATAATAAATAATTGATGAATTAATAATTTATAAAACTATTATTAATATTTTTAGTGAATATATTGTTTATCAGATTTTTTCGAAGAATTGTGAAATAGATGTACCAAATCCAAAGAATATGAATATATTTGATGCAATTCAATTTCAACTTGAACTATTGATATTTGGGGTTTCGGATTTCGGGTTCGGGTTTTGATTTTTCGGGTTCGGATTTTGGTTTTTTTCAATTTTTTGGGTTCGGATTTTTTTTCGGTTTCGATGTAAATAGTTAAATTATTGTATAAAATGGGAGTTGAAGTTATCTTGAACTACTTGGAAGAAAGTATCTTTCAACTTTAAAGATGTCAAGTAACTACAGTAGAACCTTGATAAATTAATAATCTGGCTTAAGTAATAGTTCCTTTCGGTCCCGACTTGGTTAAAATCTACTGAATTATTATTTTTATTTAATATTTCGCTAAATTAATAGAATTTTGTTAGTTCCAACTGTATTAATTTATAGAAGTTTAACTGTGGTAGCTAATTGAGAGCAGTATGAGAATTAATAAAGTTGATTAAGTTGAAGATAATAATTCAACGATCTAAACATAAAAGATGATAATAGTTCTCGTTCTTGAAATAAAACTTTGAAGTAATAATGATATTAAATACATTTTTTAGCTATGACAAAATTATACCAAAAATTCTTTACCATATGGAATGAAGCTGCTAGGTCACAATTGGACGGAGTTCAACCGGTTTTTTCATTTTTTTATTTTATAATTATTTATACATAAATTTTGTAGTAAATAAAACATATTTTAATAAAAAAATTTGTAGTAAATAAAACATATTTTACACACACAACATATCAACCCATACGCATCACACAGAATAATTTCAAATATTATAAAAATTTTAATAAAAAATAACATGTCTTCCAAAGAAAAAAAATTATAAAAAGACATCGTCTTGGCTATTTTTTTTTAAAAGCACAAGTTTGGGCTAAAAAACCTGATTTTCACTCGGGTTCTGATATTACGATTGAACCGGTCAAACCAGACCCGACAAGGCAGTGGTTCACAGTTTAACCGGCTCAACCGGCCGGTCTGATCTGGGTTTCAAAACAATGATAAAAACTTATTCAAACTCAACCTCAGTAATTACCAAACCAAACACAAATAAAACTCTTAAATCTCCATCAAAGTCAAGAAAGCCCGGCGAGTAACATTTCCGTCTCTTATCGATTCGTTCATACCATACACAACAAGAGTGACCCGACGAGATATTCAAAGTATTTTCGCAATTGCATTACACATAAAACGGGAAGAAACAATTTCAGTGAAGTGTTACTAACTTAAGTATATATAGCTCAAAAATCAGTGAAGTGTTACTAATGTTTCCAGCCTTTGGAGTGCCCGTCCACCTCATATGGCTCGAGAAATCCTATAAACTGCATAACACAAACACTTTATTAGCAAGTAATTTACGCTTAACGTTTTAAATGCGTATGATAATAATAGTTGAAAGAACGAAGTTACTTGTACTCAGTGCATATAAGTTTGTACCTTGATTCCATCTCCGGACCACCGGGCCCCATAACCATCACGAGTCCTGATCTCGAAGATGCATCCATGGGGTTGAACAATATGCATGTTCATCCATATACACTCACTTAATACCCGATTTATGACTTCCACAGCTTGTCTATTTTTCTCAAAATCTGCAAGCAAATACGCTCAAATTATTTATTAAAAAAAATGGTTTTTCTTTGACACTTTTAATTTTATTTAATTTTTTGTTATTAATACCTTTTTTGTTATATATAAATGCCTTATTTAAAATGAAAAATGAGTTTTGAAAAGAAAATTAGACTGAGAAATCTTGATAAACACTAGAAAAAAGTTAAAACAATTGAAGTAGAGAATGAGGACAAAAATGCAAAAACCATCAATAAGATCTTGGGCAAATTACGGCCAACCCCTGGGGTAAGGTTAAATTACGAAAAAACCCCTCTTGCTTGGGTAACTACAACCACCCATCAACTATGTATTGTCCTATGAAAAAAACCCTTAATTCAGTAGGTAAATTTGACACCGTAAGAGTGGACGTGTAAGACAATACATAATTGAGGGGTGTTTGTAATTACCCAAACAAGAGGGGATTTTTCATAATTTGATCTTATCTCGGGGGTGGCCGTAATCTGCCAATAAGATATTACTTAAAACTACAAAAAACTTTAGCAAAATCACTGCTTTAGCATTTTTTATGAAGCAAAATCTTGAAACTACAAAAAATTGATTCAAAAACCATGATTAGAATTTAATAATTAGAGAGAATACGAAGAAACGGAAAAAATAGATACTTAAAAGCCAAAAAAAGGTGACAATTAGAAAATTAGCCTTTTGTATTTAAGCCAACTAGTCTTTGAACACAATTCTCTATATAGATACTAATTGTTTTTCTTGGTTTTTTTTATTTTTTATATTTTTTTTGGGCAAATTACAACCACCCCTGAGGTAAGGTCAAATTACGAAAAAACCCCTAACGCTTGGGTAATTACAACCACCCCTCAACTATAAATCTTCGAACACGTCCACCCTTGCGTTGTCAAATTTAGTGGAACCATCTAGATTATATGGAATATTCTCATATTTTGTAACCGTTTTATCTCATTCGAGCTCCACATTTTGAAGCAAGATGACCATAAAATGTGTTTTTTGGCTTGAATATATCAGATTGTGGTGCAGAAGAAACTGCATTTTTGCACAAAACAAGAACAAACTAGAGAACATGCCACGAAATCTAGAAGATTATGTTGATACCTAAAGAGTGGTTGTAATTTACCTTATTTTTTTTATATTTTTTTATATTGAGATAAAGAAACTGACCGTTTCCATATAAGCCACCCCAGTACCCTTGACTGCTTCTATTGATATGCTTTGATAGAGCCCTCGCACCATTTGTCAGAGTCGAACCTTTTACCTCAAACCAAACAAGAGAGTGAATACATAAGCAGACGCAAAAATTATGCAGCATCACTTACCAAGAAACCCAAATTAATAACAATTGAAATCACTATAAATATTTTCGTGTAGATTTGTTTTCCATGTTATGTAGATTTGTTTAAATAATGAGTAACACGTAAAGTGAAATTCCGTAATCATACATACATGAGGACTATGCGTCGCCAAGAATGTTGAAAGCAGAGTTGATGTTGTGGGAGGAAGTAATTCCGGATTTGTTCCGATAGTCTCTACAAACCCTAGAAGCTTCTGAACTCCACCGCAGCTCAATCCCTTCAACAAAATCCAACCAAAACGACCCATAATCAGCAAAAAAAAAAAAAAAAAAAAGAAGTATTTTGACTTGTTCAAAGTCGGGAATTGCAACCGCAAGTATAAAAGGGAAAACATGAATGCCACATCAGCTTCAGAATCGAGAAACTAAATTAAAATGAAGAGTATTACGAGCAAATCAGAACACTCACCGAAAGTATTGAGGCCATAATAACGTAAAGCTGGGAAGTAGGTTTTGTAACACATATAGCAATAACACCATTTGACCTTTCTTTTTCTTCCGAGTAGAAATTTCTATAGATCTGTACACCTGGAAAAAAAAAACGAACAACAATTATGAACGCTGTAAATGTATATATATTAGAAGAAGGATCTACTTGTATACAATGAAAAAGATGGAATGTTTAGTTGAAATAAGGTTGCAATTAAATTAAAGGGTAAATTACGGCCATCCCCCTGAAAATATGTCAAATTACGAAAAAAACCCCTTATATTTGTGCAATTACAACCACCCCTCAACTATGAATCTTCTTACTCGTTCACCCTTGCGGTGTCAAATTTAGTGGAATCTTCTAGATTATGTGAAATATTCTCCGGTTTGTACCCGTTTTACCCCATTAGAGTTCCACATTTTGTAACAAGATGATCATAAGATGTGTCTCTTGGCTTGTAAATATTAGATTGTGGTGAATCAGAAACTGATTTTTTCACAAAACGAGTACAAACTATAGAACATTCCACTGAATCAAGAAGATTATGTTGAATTTTACACCATAAGGGTGGACGTATATGAAAATTCATAGATGGGGGTGGTTGTAATTACCTAAACAGGAGAGTTTTTTTTTCATAATTTGACCTTACCTCAGCGGGTGGCCGTAAGTTACCCTATATTAAATGAAAGAAAAGGTTGAAGGTAAATTGTGCGATTTCTTGAGAAGGTCCACGGCGGTTGAGTACTTAAGAGAAGAAGAAGAAATTAACACGAGAAGTACAAATGCAATATGAGATAAAACTATATACACTACCGCTAGTACCTTCTTCAATGCTTGGAACTCCAGGAAGAACTTTTGCAAGGGACTCCATTTCCAACATGTCATGAAACGAAGCATAATATCTCACATCCTAAAAATGGTGAAGCTTTTAGTAAGGGACGACTCATCGAGATTACATAAAGAAACTGCAATGGAACATACCTGAACTTCAAGAATCAAACACTTGTTGAAGAGAAGTAAATGTCCCGATTGGATTCTACCACCCGATAAGAGACACAACGTACCCACAAGGCATAAAAATATAAAGGTTAAGAAAATTCTCACAAAGACGAAAAAAGCTCCGAAACATGATTTTAATTTCCTGAAGTATTTAGTGAAGGATTTTTCTTTTCGGTTATGTGGAATTCCTAGTTGCAAGACGTAAAAGATCTCAAAGATGACCAAAGACTAACATAATTTTCCGGTAGTATTGAAGCAGGATCCATGTACGACAAATTTCTGATTTTGTTTTTTTCATTTCAAAAACTTAACGCTCATCCTAAAACCCAAAACGTAATACTAAACCTTTCCGTCAAACTATTAAGCATAAACAATGAAACAATAAGTAGCTTAGACAGGTTTTGACAAAAAAATAATAACAATTTTTTTGTTAGAGTTGATGAAATGAAATGTGAAAAATAATCTTCTTTTTTTTTTGTTCGATCCACTCGGTTCGTATAAAGAAGAAAGAATATTCTAGAATAAATGTTAAATTGTGACATTCTTGGGGGTTTCGCATGTTCACCACCATACATTTAGCTTCACAATTATTTATTATATATTCATTGTCATTATGTGTTATACCTCTTGTAGTTACCCATAGCACACCTTCCTTCAACTGTTTTGAGTCCGTCTGCACAAAAAGAATAAAAAAATTCCCTTAACCAGATACAAAATATATTAGAAAATACAAAATAACCCAAAACCCAGAAAACGAATACCATCGAGCTGAGAAAAGAAAGGCTCCTGAACGTGAAGTTCAAAGTCCACTTCATTCAGTACCTATGAGAACAAAAATTCAGCACCCGACTAAAACGAAAATCATCCCGAAAGAAATCACAATTCCAAAACAGATTTTCAGTCTTACACTCAGTAAAGCAGAACCCTTTTCCATCATCAGCTTGTTCCATTCTTCGTCGTTTTTATTTAAGCATTGGTGTTCGTGCGCTGGTATTAGTTCTTTACATGCTGTAAACAACGTTCCAGAATGTATAGACTCGTAAAGAGATGACGCTACGCGCTTATATAATGAATACGATGGAACTCCTTTACAAGTTTCTGCAAAAATTAGGCACTAATCTATTAGTAAATGAACGGCTCCAATAATATTAAACCATGGCGTAGTGAAAAATGAAGCTCTGGAATCAAATCAAATACGAAATTTAATTTTTGACACAAAATGTCGAAATCTTGGCTGCAAAAACAAGAAGCGTTTTCTCTTATTGTATATACTGGCAAGTTCACATGACCACATATAAGCTAAATCGTATTCTCATATATGAATACATGTATGTAAATAGCACTACAAATTGGAAAATCGGTTCACGGAACATAAAATTAGGAGAAAATGTACTTCACCCCCCTATAAATTTCCCATTTTCGTACTTTCCCCTCTAAAAATTCGAAAAAGGAATACTCCCCCTTCAAAATATTATTTTGGTTGCACACTTGCACTTTGCCACATAAACTAAGTTATGGAGGGCATTGTGCAACAAAAACAACATTTTAAAGGGGCAACGTGCAACAAAAATACTCAATTTCGATGAATAATCCATCTGAGTTTTGCTACCCGGGCAATGTGCAACAAGAATAACATTTTGAAGGGACGAGCATTCACTTATAAAATTTTTGCCGCGGTAAAGTGCAAAAATTAGAAATTTACAGGGGTTGATGTGCAATTAGCCTAAAATTATGAGAAAAAAAAAACAGAAAATCACCTAATCACATAGAAACTTGAAAGGCAGTGGGGAAAACGCCAAGGTACAACTGTCTATGCGAAGAGTACAACAATTCGCGGATGGAATCTTACAACCATGAAGTAATTTGTGAAAATTAGGGCAGCGTATTAAAATTACCGTTGGTAATTGGGAGGAGGTTCGATGGATCGTCTCTGAGAAGGCCCTCGCAGTATTCATCGGAGAGGCCGGTTTGGAGTTTTCCTTGTATGGATGAGAGGAGAGTGAACTTCAGCAGCTCTTCCATGCATTCTTTCAATTTTATCGGTGAAACTCCCGGCGACGACGGCGGTTGTGGTGGCGGTGGCGGCTCCATTCGTAGTTCAGCTTATATTTTTTTTACTCTTGGATTAACTTAGATTACGACGAATGGTGAATTACCAAAGAGCCCGAATTAAAGTCTAATTATCAAAAAATTCCTCTAAATTATCGGGAAATTACAGTTTTCATCCCTCAAGTTTGCTCTGATTACACATTTGGTCCCTTATATTCACAAAAAACACATTGGGTCCCTCATATTTCAATCATTTGACATTTTTGGTCATTTTCGTCAATTTACCGTTAGTCTGTCAGTTATGGTAGTGATGGGAACACATTCGATTCCATTAGTTTAACGGGAAATTGACGAAAACGACTAAAAGCGTTGAATTTTTGAAACATGAGGGACCAAATGTGTTTTTTGTGAATATGAGGGACCAAATGTGAAATCAAAACAAGTTTGAGGGATGAAAACTGTAAATTATACTTTAATTGGGGGGTTTTGGTTATTCACCATTCGTCGTAATCTAAGTCAAGCATACATACAACAATCTTCATGCGTGAATAGCCGGGAGGAAAGAAAGGGCGGTAGATGATAACGAGAAAAGGCACCACGTCTGGACGAACGGGCGGAATGGATGAACCGAAGGTGTCATGCCATGTAGTGGAGAATAATTCGGTGATATTTTTAACATCATTATTATTATATTTATTATGAAATGCTATTTACGGTTACAAAATTGCTATTTGCGGTTTTTCACAAAACCCCCCAAAACTTTCCAAAAAAATCAAAAAACCCCAAACTGCAAGTAGCCAAAAAAAAATAAAAAAAATCGAAAATTCGAAATCAAGCTTGAAGAAGGGATGGGCTTCGATTTTTTGATGTAATTTCGACTCTTTTATGTGTAATATGCACTGGGTAGGTCAATTACGGCATTTTGGGGGGGTTGGATTTTTTTGGGAAGTTTTGGGGTTTTAGTGAAATGAACTAATAAAGTGTTTTTTGTTATAAACCGCAAATAACAATTTTCAAACCACAAAAAGCAATTCCCTATTTATTTTACTTTAGATGAATTAAAAAAAGTGTTTTTATTATTATTTTTTTCGGGAAAGACTTTTTTTCGAGAGCTTATTGGACCAAATAATCATTTATGTATTCTATTTTTGAATCCCAAGTTGCACAACTTACATCCAACAAAATTTCATATCTTCAACTAATACATACATAAAACAGTTTTCTTATTTAGAATGAAGTGCTTCAGATTTTAGCAGCATTCCCAGAATTCCTTGAAATGTTACGATTTTCTTCCTTGCACAATACCATGCTTACGAGTATCAATACTCGAGTCTTTTCGAAACTCCTGCAGTTCACACGATCGACGAATCCATGAGCATAAATGGAGCTAGCTAGAGTTCCTCTTTTTAATGTTATTTATACATCAAACTTGTACTTACGAACATATATTATAAACTTAAACGAATATTTATGTATGTCACTAGTGGCGAATCCAACACTTTAATCAACGATCTTCATAACTTGATGGAATAATAATAAGAATAAGAAGAATAATAATAATAATAATAATAATAATAATAATAATAATAATAATAATAATAATAATAATAATAATAATAATAATAATAATAATAATAATAATAATAATAATAATAATAATAATAATAATAATAATAATAATAATAATAATAATAATAATAATAATAATAATAATAATAATAATAAAAAAAAAAACAATGAAAAACTTGTACAAGAAAATATATATGTACCATGTGTTTGATAGCCATGTCCAATGAAGTTTTCGACATCAATCTTCCAAAACCAGAGCTCTCATTCACCTTAATCTTTGCATTTTGTCTTTCTTCGCCACTCGAATTAATTCTCGCATTCATAAACCTATCCACCATTCTGCTCCCCAATACTTGTCCTCCTCCTCCTCGATCTCCAACTTCTTGTTGACTTTTATTATCCGAGTCAACTACTTTTCTACCTCGTGTCACACTAGGAGAGCACGATTGTCTTCTCATGTTCGAATTCGTATCCTGTTTTTGTGGCCCCGTCGGAAGATTCTGATTCGTTGATCTTCCACGAGTTGTTGATGCTGGCCTATGATTGGCCGTTGTTCTTAGATTATTAGGCGGTGTGTTGTCTGATAATCCTCTGTTTTTGAGGTTGTTGGTGCTTGAATTTGTTTCGATGGTCGTCGTGTTTTTTGAAAGGTTTGATGATGATGATGGGAAGTTCGGGTGGATTTTTTCGTTCACGGTTGACTTAATTGGGGTTGACTTTTTTTTATTTATAATTGGTGGGCTTTTCATGTTCTTGTTTTCGAATGATGGTGATATACTTGGCCTAGCGTTCGGTGTCTTGTGTCGTTGTGGAAGTTTTGGCTTAGGTTTTGGAGATATTGGTATGCTACTTGTTTTTGTGCCTTGTGAATTTCCTGCAAACTGCATGTAGTACATATAATTGGTTTAGATGTTGGTATATATTTATATATTTTTTTCCGAATGGCGATTGAATCTACGTTGATTAGATGTTACACCTGGTGAAGTATAACAACATATCACCGAATTTATTGCATTTAATACTCCTGTATTTTTATCAAAATTTAAAAGATTCTTCGTGTTATTAATATTAGAATAACAAAAAACTCTTATGACGCCTTTCTTTAACATTAACATGCAACAACCTAAACGATGAGGTTTTAGTCGTAATTTGCTTAAGAAAATGAATTATAGGGTGTTTGCCAATATTTATACTACAATGATTACCATGAAATAAACTTGATCAAAAGTCGAAAAAAATAATTTTCTTATTTAAAAAATGTTTATGATTATACATAATAATTCGAAAACATACCCTTGAAAGAGGCTGGAGGATTGGTATTTCCCTCTGAATGACTAATTCTTGGCCATTTGTTTCCATCTCAAGTGACGGAAATAAAGGCGTTGCCGGCGGTGTTTTTAGCCTTCAACAATGTGAAAAATGAAAAAAAATATTTAACCAAACATCAATTTAAATATTGCTTATATACAAAATTGTTAATTAATTTCAATATTTGTCATTCGATGGATTTCAACGGGTATAGCATAGATTTACCAGTTGTAGTCATTTTTTCCACTATCAAATCCCGCCCCTTTTCTTCCTCCCGATTCCATTCTATAGAGTCCATTGTTCCCTACACTTCACCACACTTATTTGTAAGAAAAAAAACAATGTGTCTATGTGTGGGTATGCGCGTGTATTTGACACGAACTATCAAATAATTAGGACTCACCATTAGCTTCAAACTCTTCGGAAACGGGCTGAAGAAGGCTAGCAGCTTGCTCCTTCTCGCGCTTTTGAATATTCCGGAAGAACGATAGCTCTTCGTCTTTGTCCTTTATGCAATTTGAGATCATTCCACGAGCTCGAAAACCTTCAGTTACTTCTCTTCTATGCATCATTACTTAAGTAGTTTAACTAGGTTTTTTTTCTTTTTTTTTTTTATTTCACTCTTGTTGTTCTTGTTTCTCGGCGTGATTAAATTGCTGATTTTTGAAAATTTTATAATGTGTCGGACAATTCTAAGTTACTTGATTGTCCTTGTAGGAAATTAAGCATGCTATAATTAAATTCATGATCTTATATAGGGGGATAGTGACATAATAGTATGTGTCAACAAATAATATCAAATAAACCGGCCGAGTCAACTTCAACATAAACAAATGAAGGGAATATTTTGTAAAAAGAAATTGAGATTCTTGTAAGAGTACATTTGGCAACTTTTGTGGGAATTGCAGGCTGGACATCCACACTTGAAGAATATGTCAAAAACAATCTCAACCCTAATATTCATAATATTAAATTAAATTGTCCAATAATATGCAAGGTTTTTTTTTTTTTTTTTTTTATTGTTGGAAAATGCACACGCAAGTGCACATATCGCTATAGAGTAATAGTAGACTCCTAAGCTAAAGTCGGGATATCATATCCACATAAAAAAAAAAGTTATTCTCTACTTCCAAGTATTGAAATTGTCACACTAATATATTTTCTATAAATATGTTTATAAATTGGTAATCACATGAAATTGATTAATATAATAATTTTATATGCTAATTACAAAATGATGTTAATCACACCAAATTCTATTTTAATTTCTATATTTGATAGAAAAAATAGGATTTTGTGAAAAAATGGTAAAATGGTGGTACGGTGGAAGTTGCAAATTTTTTCACCAAAAAATTTAGTAAAAATATAGGATTTGGTATGCTGATATGTGGTTTGACCACAACGGGGGACCAAAACCAAATCATCATAATTTAGGTGTAATGCTTATACGCTCACACAAAATCCCACATTTCCCGATTTGGGATATATGAGGGTGTTACAAGAAATATAGGAATATGTTTATCCTATCACGCTAATAGCATCTAATCCGATGAATTCAACTCGAATGTTCTTCTATCTGTAGTTCTAATAATAATCAGAGGAATCGTCAACCGCTTCAATACAATTGTTCATAAATTGATCAAATTCATGTATAGATTAAAATCAAGGTTAGAAGAAATAAATATTTCATCGAACTTGCATAAATATTGAAATTTATTTTGACATTATATTTCCTCATAGAATTTCTAGAAATTGTAATTAAAATAGAAAGAATTTCACCTTTTTAATATTGTGTTTATTGTCATTAATTGGTTTAGGTCTTCACAAGAATATAAAAGGAGGGCGATAATGCTGACGTTACTTGTTGAGTCTTTTATCACGTGGATGATTTACCAAGTCTACCAAGCCAAGTAAGCAAAGGGGAAGAATGAAGTCATTTACAAGAGGAGTTGCCCAAGGATCATCTACAGGGGGAGAAACACAAGCTGACTCCATTGTGAACCACCTGCCGAAGCCACTACTGTTGGAACTGTTGTTGAAACTGTGGCACTTGCTATTGCAGCAGTTGATGCCACTCTTGTTGTTGGCTGTTCCTTTAATGCTGAGGATGATCCTTAGTTTTATTTGCTTCCGTCTAATCATCTAATTGTTTTATTTTCAGG